CCAGTCTCCAGTTAGTGCTGACTCCCTCCCCTTTTCGCTAGCCACCCCCGCCACCGGATATCTGTTCCTTTCAGTGGAAAGGTTGCCCTATGTCAACCCTCCGAGCCTCCAACAATAAAATGAGTTGGGCAGGGAGAAGCGTAAGCACAGAGTGGTAGAAATGGAAATGACTGCAGGCTTCCCAGGCATCATCTGACTTGACTCCCACAACATCACAACGAGGCAATAATTAGCTATCAGTTCCTCTTAGGAGCTAGCGAGTTAAATAATTTGCTTCAAATTGCACAACTAGGAAGTGGCTGACCCAGGACTTGAACCCATGTCTGTCTGGCTGACTCAAGACTTCAGGCTCCTAAACACACTCTCCTCTGAGATGTTGGGTCCTGACACCGAGGAAAAGGCAGACAGAGTGCTTACAGCTAGGAGGGTTCTCGTGCCCTCACCCACTCAGTTTGGAGGAAAGTTCAGGGCAGGCATGGGGGAGTGGATTCTGAGCGGTAAGTGACATACAAGATTCAGTGGGCCAAATTCATGGACGTGGGCCTATTTCCCCAGAATTCAGAATTGCTTGTGTTGGCATCAATACCTGGCATGATGTGAGTGTTCTGTGAGGTTGGCTAATTAGAGTCTAGACTTAAACAGAAGCCTGTAGTCGGTGAGGTTGAAATTCTAGAACTTCCCTGGGAGGTTAGGACGGTGTCTACATGGTTCAGGGAGGTGGATCTGTTGAAATGGATCTGTTCTGTGCAAAGGGCTCCGCCACCCCCTAAGCGCACTCCGGGGCAGGCCAGGGGACACGTCCATGATGGGGGCGCTGTGAGATACGTGGGGGAGGTCGTGAGAGGTGCCAGCACCCTTAGGAGCCCTCCGGGGGCTTTTCACCATGTATGAGAGGTGGCCACGGGACAGCTGTCATTCCATGGTCCTCAGACTTCAGTGCACACAAGGTCCACCTGGAGGGCGTGCTAACAGGCTGCCTTCCCAATACAGGGGATTCTTGACGTCGTCGTAAGGATGCCAACAGCTGTCATTTTTGTGCTCCTAAAATATATGAGCAGCCCACCCCTAGGACCCCATTTGGAAGGGCCTCTCTGACACTCAGACGTGTCGGTCTGGGATCCCGAAAGAAACAGAGGATTCTTACATTGGAATGATTTGAGGAAAGTTTGATAAAAATGCTGTTTCCCAAGAAGTGGGCTGGGTGTGGAGAAACCACAGGGGTGCTAATAACAGGGTTGTGCCCTCCCATTAGTCCCAGGCTAGAACCTTTCCAAACGCTATAGCCATTCTCCACAGTTTTTATTGATTTTTAGAGAGAGAGAAAGGTAGAAAGATAGAAACATCATCGATCTGCTACCTCCTGTCCTGCATGCTCCCCACCAGGGATCGAGCCTGCAACCAGGGCATGTGCCCAGACCTGGAATCAAAACATGACCTCCTGGTCCATGGGTTGATGCTTAACCACTGGGAAACACTGGCCTGGCTCTTGTAGATTCTTGACAAGTATTTGTGTCAGTTATGTAAGGCTCAACATGAGTAAGGCGCACACTTTTTTTCTGTATTCTCTGGAAGAAATTGTGTAAAGTTGAAATGACCGCTGGAGTGCTTTGGAGGAGCGATGACCACCCCTAGAGCTGGAGAGAGAAGGGCAGAGCAGGGCTCCCCAAAGCTGGCGAGAGCCATGGAGAGGTGGTGACGAGTGAAGTGAAACACTCCGTTGAGAGCTGGCTGCACCCAGGCTAAGGCAAGGGTGGAGACAGCAGAGAAATAAGTACCCCACCTTAACTCTTCTCCCTTTCCAATGCCCAAGGGGCTCCCCAGTGTCTGAACCCAACCTGAAGCCAGAGGACCTGCAGTCCCATTCCTGTGATCTACCCAGGTGAGCTTCCCCAGCCACAAAAGAGGATGGAAAAGAATGGGATGTGTGTCTAGAGGGACGAGCTTGCAATCTTCTTGTTGGTTTTGTGGGGTTTTTTATATGTCTTTTGTGCCGGGCGGACATGGCCATGGGTGAACCTGAGAGGGGGCGGTGAAGGATTTAGAAAAGACAGACAAGGGAATAAAGCTAGAGCTTGGTGGGATGCTCCTCTGATGGAGAGACAGTGCCTGGCCTGTAAGCCGAGTCATTTCATAGCCGAGATTCCACGAGGCAAAGTAAGGGCGTGGTCAAGATGTTTACAACCTTCTCCTGGGTTTCCATCTACTCCATCACATGCACCTGACCAAGTTTTGTTTACTTGCTGCACCTCCTGCAGCCTATATCACTCAGCCACGTGGAAGCACAGGTTCAAACCATAAGGTCAAGCTTACAACCATAGCCTTTGACTTGCACGTGGCTTTGCCATGAGAGGATTCTGCCCTCTAATTGGTCCCAGGCTAGAACCTGTCCAAACGCTATAGCCATTCTCCATAGTTTTTATTGATTTTTAGAGAGAGAGAAAGGTAGAAAGATTGAAACATCATCAATCTGCTGCCCCCTGTCCTCCATGCTCCCCACCAGGGATCGAGTGCCCAGACCGGGAATCAAAACGTGACCTCCTGGTCCCTGGGTCGATGCTTAACCACTGAGAACACTGGCCTGGCTCTTGTAGGTTCTTGACAAGTATTTGTGTCAAAGTTATGTAAGACTCAACATGAGTTGAAGAGTGCACACGTTTTTTCTGTATTCTCTGGAAGGAGTTGTGTAAGACTGAAATGACCGCTGGGATGCTGTGGAGGAGTTGGTAAAGTCCTTCGGGCCCGTGGGTATGTTGTGGGGAGATTTCCACTTACTGATTGCTTTTCTTTAATAGTTTTAGAACTACTCCTTTTCAGCTTTTTTATTGCCGTCTGGTAAGTTATGTTTTGAGGGGGAGTTCACCCATTTCTCCTGAATTACATGTACTGGCATAGGTTCCTATCTTCCTGGTGTCTGCAGGCTCCGTGGTGATGTCCCTTCTACTCCTGCTGGTTGGCTATTTGTGCCTTTTTTCCCTTTCTTTTTTCTTTTGTTTTGTTAATCCTCTCCCAAGGATATTTTTCCATTGATTTTTAGAGAGAGTGGGAGGGGGAGGGACAGAGAGAAAAAAAACATTGAAGTGAAAAAGACATCCATTCATTGCCTCCTGTGCTCACCTTGACCAGCCTGCAACCCTTGACTGGAATACAACCAAGTCACCCCAGGCTTACACTCTACCTACCTAGCCAAACTGGTTAGGGCCGTGGTCAGCAAACTGCGGCTCAGGAGCCACATGCGGCTCTTTGGCCCCTTGAGTGTGGCTCTTCCACAAAATACCACAGCCTGGGCGAGTCTATTTTGAAGAAGTGGCATTAGAAGAAGTTTAAGTTTTAAAAAATTGGCTCTCAAAAGAGATTTCAATTGTTGTACTGTTGATATTTGGTTCTGTTGACGAATGAATTTGCCGACCACTGGGTTAGGGCCCTTTTCCCTTCATGGTCAGTGTCAGGAGGCTCTAACTTCATTACAGGCTTGTCAGAAAGTAAGCTTTGGTTCAGTTACATCAGCGCTTCTTATCTCACTAATCTTGGCTCTGTTTTTCTGTCTTTTCCTCTCACTTGGCTTATTTTGCTGGAGTGAAGAGACTCGTGAGAATGGACAGCAGAGGGGAGAGGATCCCAGGCAGGCATAAACAGTGAGCAAGATCCGGGAACCAGGAGCGAGCAGGGCCAACGGGAACCTCGGGCAATGGCCTGGCCAGGCTCCTATGGGCGCCAGCGCTGTCCGGGTCCCACCCCCCCTGCAACCTGCCCCTACCTCCCAGCAAGTTGCACACCCCTCCCACCAGCAGCTTCAGAAACTCAGGACATCCCCGACAACAGGGGCCTGGACGCAGCGGTGATTGCCAAACCCTAGCCGTCCAGCCCGGGGTGCAGAAGGGCACCCGTCGTGGTGTGAGGAGACCCTGTCAGCAGAAATTGGCTTTGATTTGTCCAAGTGTGGGACTTCCACATAAAACCAGGCTCAAGAGCCAGCAGCTGTGTATCACTGCTGGTTGCCCAGGACCAAACCAGAGAGGGTTGGACCTGCATTACCACCATTTGCCCACCATCCAGAATTGAAATATCATTGCTGACAGGTACACATAAGGCACTGTTTGACATTGAAATTGGGTCTCAAAAGAACTGGTGGCCCAGAAAGAAGCTCACTACAGACTGATTCATATGCCTTTCAGCACAACGATTATTGCTTGTCTCATTTTTTATTCTTATAAGTATATTTCCAGTAGGACATGATCTCACTCATCTAGGGGGAATGGTAACCAACATAGACTGATGAACAAGAACAGACCCAGAGATAAGGAGCCATGGGTCAGACTGTTGGACCTCAGAGGGAGGGTGGGGAATAAAAGGGAGAGATCAACCAAAGGACTTATGTGCACACATATGAGCCTAACCAGTGGTCAAGGACAATAGGGGGGTGGGAGCATGAGTGGGGAAGGGGTGGGAGATTGGAATGGGGGGTTGAGGACAAATATATGATATCTTAATCAATAAAGAAACTAATTTAAAAAAAAAAAAAAAAAAAAACAGGCTCGAAAGGGCTTCCGCGGCTCCATGCGCATTGGCAGCCGCCGTGGGTCTGTGTACACAGGTCAGCTTTCTCTGCAGGACACCACTCACTCCCCATGAGAAGGGGTGTCATCCCCACAGTCACTCAGTGGTCCCCCCGAGTGGGCACGGTGACAGAGGCACGCGCCACGCCAAGACTGAACGCGTGAGGATGCGTGAAGCCCGCACGCCCCACTCTTCTTCCCGGGAGTGTGTTTCCTCCTGTTCTAAGCAAGGTCACGAGCACCTGGAACCATGTCCTGCGGAAGGGCCGGAAGAAAGCCTCCGCTGCTGCGGCCACAGCTTCCCTCTCGCGTTTCCCCGGAAACACTTGGCAGCCCCGCCACGGGCTCAGCAGTTTCCAAAGCCCCTGCATGTTGACGCAGCCCAGCCCCTGCCCAGGCCAACGGCCCTCTGGGAGCTCTCATCCTCTCAGCTCCCTATAAAAGGCAGGCAGAGCAGCTGGAGGAGGAGAGGGGAGGAGAAGAGGCCAAGATAAGCGGCCGAGATAAGCCCAGAGGCCAACAACTCTCACGTGGAAGCTCACCCGCCCGCAGGCTCCAGCATGAAGGTCTCCGGGGGGCTGCTGTGCCTGCTGCTCACCGTGGCGGTGGCCGCCCTCAGCTCCCAGGTGCTCGCTGGGCCAGGTAAGCTTCTCTCTCCCTCCCCCCTCTCTCCTCTCTGTTCCCTCTCCTTTGGGGAGGTTGAAAGTCAACATGCCTATCAGAGCAGCAGGGGCCCGTTAACATCCATTTGTAGAAACAGAAAGCAGAGCCCACGTGGGGACAAGAGGAGTCCTACCACACCCACTCCCAGCCCTAGCAAAGCCACGTGGAAGCCAAGCTGCCCACGCCAAAGCCAGGCCCTTTGCTTGGGCCCCAGCGGGTCTCCCCAAACTCTGCAGACCAGGGGGGTCATAGCCAGGATGGGTCACACTGGCCTCCAAGGTCAGCGGTGACCTGTCCCCGCGATGCAGCTGGGAAAACTGACTGCACATCTGAAGCCTGCCTCAGGCCCCAGGGCGAGAGGGCTGGACCTGGGATGGGAAAGGCTGAGTCTGCCTCCCTGACCCCCTCCTGGAGGGTAGAAACCAGGTCTGCCTCCTTGCCCTCCTCCTGGGGGGAGAGGGAGTGGAGGTAAGACCATGTCGGCCTCCCTGCTTCCTGCCACGGTCAGGCTGAGAAAACCTAGCACCTCCTGAAGGACTTCCCTGTGGCTTTATTCCAGGGGCCCTCAATATCGGGTCCACCTGCTGCTTCAAATTTTACAAGAAGATCCCTTTGCAGAAGCTGAGGAGCTACCAGGTCACCAGCAGCCATTGTGGCCTGAAAGCTGTCATGTGGGTAGAAAGCCCTGCTCACCTCCCCCCCCCCCCCCCCCCCCGCCTCAGCCTGCCCTTACTTCCCCACTCCAACCCCCGCCCCCCCTCGTCAAAGCCTCAATCCAAAGTTCTGCCCCAGAACATGGACACAGACTAATCCAGGACCTTGTCCTCAGGGGATAAGATCTAACCAGACTGTGCCATCCAGGTCCTCCTGCTATTAATCACCAAAGGCCCCGAGAGAGCCAGTGAGGCTCACACCCTGGCCAAGGCTTTGGTGGTCAGGCCAGCCTCCCCCGGGGGGGGGGCACAAGCAGCAACTGGGTCCAGAGGCCCCTTCCTGCCACACCCTTCCCTCCTCCTGGAAGGAGGTCCCCCTCTTGGGTAGAACCCCCACGTGCTCCCTCTAACTGGGCGGGCGCTTCTGCATCCACAGCTTCATAACCAAGCTGGGCAAGGAGGTCTGTGCCAACCCGAAGGAGAAGTGGGTCCAGGACCACATGAAGCACCTGGACATGCCGAGACCACGCCAGACCACGCCGAGATCACGCCAGACCACGCCGAGAACGCCCCTGGCCACGCGGAGACCACACTGAGACCTCCCCCGGCCACGCCGAGACCACGCCGGAGTGTGGGACGTGAACATGTATTCTCCAGCGCCCCCTGCCCTGATTGCACCGTCATTTTCAAATAGGGTGCCTGGGGGGCAGTGCTGTTTTGTCTTAAGTACTGTTTAATATTATTTGCATTATTGCTGGTTTGAGGTCTATTTTGTATATTGACAATCTTTTTGTACTGTTTTTTATTTTCTAATTGGATTTCTTGGGTGGCATTGGTTAATAAAATTATATAGATTGCAGGTGTCCGGTTCTATAAGCCATCATCTGTACATTGTGTGTTCACCACCTCACGTCTAGTCTCCTTCCATCTCATGTGTAACCCCTGTTCCCTCTCCCGCCTCCCCATGCTGTAATCACCATGCCGTTGACTGAGTTCATGAGTTTTTTTGTTTTGTTTGTTTTTGCTTGGCCTGTCTGCTTTAGAGGAATGCCTTGAGCCCGTTGGTTCCTGTCATGGGCCCTGTTCCTCCCGCGGTAAGTGGCAGGCAGGGTCTCTCTCCTGCCTCCCTGCCCCGGGCTGGTGGCCATGCCTGTGAGGACCACGGGGATGAAGAACCGTGATGGCTAGGGAGGAAAGTGCCTGGTGAGTGCCAGGTGTTAACTAAATATGTGACTGTGGAGAAAATGCGATTGTGGCACTGCTAACATTTTTTGCAAGAAATACATTGTATTTAAAATCTCTAGCAGTGGTGTTTTCTTTGAGGGTCACTTCCCATCCGTAGGGGGCTCTCTGGAGTGCAGGTGGATGGCGGCAGGGGGCGCTAGAGGAATGCAGATGTAGGGGGCTAGCCTAGGTGAAGGGGGCCCCGGCTTACCAGCGCAGACTAGTCTAGTGTTTCCCAAAGTGTGGTACGCATACCCCCAGGGGTACAGGAAGAGTTTGGTGGGGGTACGCGTTGCACCGAAGTTTGGTGGGGATATGCACTGCATCGTGCTTAGCTGCGCCTAATTCTACGTTCTCATGAGTACAAGGGGTACTCAGCGTTACGAAAATTAAAGAAGGGGTACACATATGTCAAAAGTTTGGGAAACACTGGAGAACAATGGCTCCAATCCCAGCATCAGCTTCTAACTGGTCTCCCTGAACCCATGCCTTCCCAAGGGGAGCAGCCTTCCATCCTGGAGTCATATACACACATGTGCACCTGGCCACTGCCCCCAAGGGGAAAACCAGCTGACCAGTCCCAGTTAGCACTGACCCTGCCAGAGAAGATGAGATACGTTCAACCTTGGAGGATGTAACACGGTCATCGCGATATTTTTGTAAAGAAGCTGCAGGAGGGAAAAGAGGGGCGAGGGCCTGGAAGGACTATCCCCATCAGGTCAGAGTTTGGGAACATTAGAGATTTCCAAAGGGAAGGTTGCAGTGTGGTTAGAGAGGAATCACAGTGTGAAGGCGGGGAGTTTGGAGTCAGATCTGAAGGCAGGCGGGTGATGCCCAGGGCTTTGGAGCCATGGGGTGGCCAGGGGGGGTGGCAGGGGCAGGGTGCTGTTGGCCAGGGAGAATGGAGAACAGCCTGGTCCGGGAGAGAGGGAGTGGCCTAGGCAGGACAGTCATGGGGGCTGAGGGGAGGGGCCGTTTAAGGAGAGTGGGCCGGACGTGTGACAGGCTGAATCCTGAGACATAGGACCCTATAGCCACCGAGCTGGTCTTTAAAGGGCGCCAATCCTGAGTCCCAGAATGGACTGCCTCCCTTGCTGCTCTCCCGAGGCCCACGTTGCACAAAGTGGAGCTGTGCTCGCCCTCCTTCCAGGGCACCCAGGGGCCTCCTGCTCTCCCCAACACCGCCTCCTCCTCTGAGTGAGTTGCGTTGGCATCTGTCTCAGACCCAGGCCCTCCCTAAGGAGAAGGCGGTAGGGTGTGTCTGGGGAGAGAGGGCTCCTGTGCCTGTGCCATGCTGTGTCAGGAAGTCACGTGACATCTCGGGACACGAAAGAGTTTTGTGTCCAGATCTAACCCTGACTTGCCATGTATCTTCAGGCCTGTCCATGTCTCTCTCCAGCCCTCAGTCTCCTCATTTGTAGAATGAGGCTGGCAACACCTGACAGGGAGGGGACCTCACAACACCCCCTCCAGACAGAGCAGCTGTGCCTTCTGGGTAGCATCAGCCCCTGAACCCTCCAGGAACGTTCCATTCCCCTCCTGGCATATCTTGGAGGGCCCCTCTGCTCATCTTTTCCTGTGTCTGCGTTCAGTCATCGTAAGCGTGTGTGTGTGTGTGTGTGTGTGTGTGTGTGTGGTTCTTTTCTGATCTGCCCACCACCTCAGCTTGGCTGTGGTCCTAACAGTAGACCGATTCTGCCTTAACTATCTGTGTGATCTCCGACAACTCTTTCCACCTCCCTCCACATGATCATGAAAATATGTACCCGGACTTGGTGAACCAAGACAATATACACCACAACTGTAAGTACCTCAGTCAGCGTTGTAAGGACCCTAGAATGCAACTATGGTGCTTACTCCACCTCACAGGTGGGAGTGCAAAGGAGCACCTGGAGAACACAGGGCAGAGAGTCACCAGCCCGAGGTGTGGGAAGCCATGTTCCGTGGGGCCCGAGGGCAAGGATGGAGCATAGGGTAGGGACGCCTACCTGCTCTCCCCTAAGCCTTCAGGGTCAACTAGGGACAGGGCAGACCATAGCCCCATTGTTAGAAAGTGCGCATGATGCACGACTTATCTGGATGTTCTCAGCTAGGCTGTTCTCAATATCTAGCCAGATGCCTGCTCTATGTATCTTTTTCCAAGAATGTCTTGAGGAGCTGACGGGTGGCCTTGTCCTGGGAAAGGGGCACTTGGAGAAATGCCCAGAAAGGCCGCATAAATGTACACCTGCAACTAATAAAGTTGCTGCAATCTCATCATGGACTAGCAGTCCTCCTGAAGCCCTGCTTTCTCTTGTCTTTATTTCTCTTAAAACCTCCTAGCCCTACCTCCAGGACCCGTGATGCCGGCTGGATCCGATACCGAGGTCACCCAAGAGGTTGGCAAATCTGGAATAAGGAATTAATCGTGACCCCCCTGCCTCTTCTTACTGTGCAGTAAATCCTAGGAGCGTGTAAGCAGTTCCCTCCTCTGGGCATAAAATTCTGTGTTAGGATAGAATACTTGGCTCCTTGGAGCGCCAAGAAACTGCAACCTCCTGGAGCAGGCGAGGACGCGCGGAGCACCCCCTGGCGCCCACACTCAGCTCTGCACCCAGGTTTTGAAGGCCTTGCTCCCAGGGTTTAGAAACCTTAACCTGGTGGCACGTCGCCACCTAGCGTCCGCTATTCGAATTCCAGGAGCGGTTTCTGTTCTCTGGAGGAGGAAGTCAGGAACTGAACAAACAGGGAATGGCACTCACATTAGACCATCCCGGTGGGAGCGGGAGGAACTGGAGTTCCTGGAACACAAGATGCTCTTCGCGGAAATCGCTTTCCTCACAAATGTGAAGCAACAATTGGAAGACGGCACGTGCACTAGAAGAGAAACGCAAAAATGGTTCGCATCTGTTCAGCCTGGATTTCTTTTCTCTTTCAACAACAAAAACAAACAAACAAAAAAAACAACAAAAAAAACACCCTAGCAGATTCGGCTCCGTGGATAGAGCTTCAGCCTGCAGACCAAAGGGTCCCTGGTTCAAGTCTGGTCAAGGGTGCCAATCTGCAGCAGGCTCTTTCCAGGTCAGGGCACCAACCAATGTCTTTCTCAGTGGAATTAGAGGATTAAAATAACAAACAAACAAAAACCCTTGCAGGACAGGCTCAGGCTTTGGAACCACATTGGGAGGGCCCCAGGGTAGCACTGTCCCACCAGCCACCTCGTGTGTTTAGGCAGAGTCTGGACACGGGGGTTCAAACCCTAGCTCCCCACACACCAGTGGTGGCCTTGAGGACCTGGGCCTCAGACCTCCCATCTGTAAAATAAACCAGTCTCTAGCCTGGTTTCTAAAGGCTCTTCCACTTCTGACATCTCACCACTCCTGTGAGGTTCTGCCCCAATATAATATTAAGGTTCAAGGGCTCTGGCTCTCATGCTCTGGGGACCTGGTGAGTCTGGTCCATGAAGGACAACTGTGGTCTAAGAAGCTGGGGCAAAATTAGGCACCATGCAAGGAGTCCTGGCTGATAGAGTGACAAGGCAAGAGCATCCGGGGACTGGTCAGCTCCCCACTGACTCCCAGAATGCCCTGCTCCCAGTCCTCAGCTCTGTCCTGACCCCCGACCTCACCCTGCCTGCTTGTACACCCCCTCCCACGCCCACCCTCCAAAGACTTGCATTCCAATCCTGCTCCTTCCTCCTGGTCTTACTGTGTACAAAGCCCCTTTTGTGTATTTAGCATTAGGTCTGTACTCCCTAAACAGCATTGGATGTTAGACATTCTCAGTCCCACATTAATGATGGAGAAACCAGAGTCTGAGAAATAAAATGACTTGCCTATGGTTAGCCAACTCTTACAGCCCTGGGTCCTGACCTCTTCCCTTTATCTGATACATTGTGAAGGCAAGACATCTGGCCCTCAGGCCTCCAGTTAATAACCTCAAAGCCTCCTCTATCCGTCAATCTGCAGGGTCTGAATGAGGCAGGGCCTCCTTTTGCAGGAGCGAGTAGCTCAGCTGCCTGTGGCTACCCAGACTCCTGTGGCTACCCAGACTTCTGGTTCTCCTATGGGCCTGTGCCCCCACCCATTCCTCCTCTTCCAGAAGAATACTTTCTGGAGCAGGGGAGACGGAGGCAGGGAGTGGAGGGTGAGCCCTGTCTGCAACCCCAGGGTGCCTGCCCACATTGCTGCCCTCCCCAAGGTGAAGCTAAGGGACACCAGCCCCACTCACGGCTCCAGTGTCCCCATCCTGCAGCCATGTCCCCACCCGCAGCAGGCACACCAGGGCTGGGGAGGTGAGCTTCATCGCGGGCTGGCTTGGATCTCTCTGGAGAGGTCTCACCAGTCTGGTGAAGCAAGTGCTGTCTGTGGCCCATCAGGCAGTGACCAGGCTTTTATAGGGAGACTAGAGGCCCGGTGGAAAATTTAGTGCACTGGTGGATCCCTCGGCCTGGCCTGCACCCTCTCACAATCCAGGACCCCTCAGGCGATATCAGACTGCTGATTTCAGCCTGGTCCCCGCAGGCCAGGCTGAGGGACCCCACCAGTGCACGGATCCATGCACCAGGCCTCTAGTATGCATGTAAGATCTTTGGTTAATCTCTCCCACCTTCCCCCTCCCTCCTTCCCTCTGAGATTCATCAGTCTGTTCCATGTTTCCATGCCTGTGCGTTGAGCATCTGCCCTCTGGTGGTCAGTGTGTGTCATAGCTACCAGTCGAACCATCGCTTAGGCTTTTATATATATAAATGGGTGCTCCCAGGTGGGGAAGTCACAGGGAGAAGAGGTGGGCTCTCAGGTCCAGTGGCCACATTAACCACGCCCCTCCCCCAACCCCTCCAAGGGATGGATGTGCAAGTGCATGGAAACGTCTCCTAGTGCAGGAGCAGATAAGGGCCTTGAAAAAGTGAGTAGGAGCTACCCCTCTGAGAAGCTGCGAAGAGTGAGAGGAAGTGGCCTGCTTGTGGCTTCTCCAATCCCACATCTTATCATCCAGGGCTGCAGCCACTGTCCCCAGCTAAAGGCTCTGGACCAGGACTAAGACACATGAGTCTCTGATGCCCAGTTCTGCCAACCAGCAGCTGCATAAACTCACCCTAGA